GGTGCCCACCCACCCACTTGGTCCAACATCCCCAGTGTGGATGGGGGGCAGATGGGCTGAAGTATCTGGTCAGGTAGGCTGGATCCAGTGATAATGGCTGGAAGGGGCCACTGCCACCAGGAAGCTGAGTCTAGCTCTCATGCTGCCTCAGTCCCACTGCAGGCCTGGGGGCGGCAGGACTGTTCACATGCACCACGGCCTGGGCTACCCCCTACATATGAGCCAGGCGGGGTCAAGAGACTTGCTGCAAGCTGTCTAAAATGCCTTGGAAGGCCGCATCCAGCCCATGGGCCATATTTTGCACACCCCTGCTATAGAGCAAATTGTGTATCTGATCTAGAAGCTCAGACAATGGGGTAATGACTGGTAAACATATGATTTAATCCTTAAGTACATGCTCTACAGATTTCAGGAACAAGATCTTCACTTAAGAAAAACAACTTTGAGCCCTACTGAAAAGGCCTCTAACTCAAGAAGAATGGTCAATCTTAATGAAACCCATAATTCATTTTAGGAGTCTGAGATCTGAAGATCAGATTGATTCTTATTTGCTCCCAAAGGATCTCAGAGTTATCAGAATGCTCTGTCCTATAGATATAGAAAGATAGTAGTCCAGCAAAGGTACAACATGTAGAATTTAGTCTCTGAATAATAACTGGTTTTAATGCAAATCCCACACTATTTCTAGTAAAAGTTTAGGGTCTAGTTGGAGTGTTACGGTATCTTTTTGAAGAGCAGTATTTGGTAAACCTGACATAGCAAGAGGCAAGAATTCTTTTGGGTGATATCTTCAGTGGACCAACTGTATGGTTGGTCTAGATCAGTGGTTCTCAACCTTTTTAGATTCAAGGCACTCCAACACTTTTTAAAATTTAGTGGTACCCCATTTTATTACACTTTGTAAAAAATAATCTGACTGGAAATGCATTATTTAAACATACTGGAAAAAGCATACACAGATAACTGTAATATAAATTAAACCCATGCTAGAGCCTGGCAATTCAGAATCACTGACTTAGAAAGATACTATTATAGCTTCTGTCACCACAGGGTCTGGACACCCCAAATCGTTAATGTATTTATCCTTGGAGCAATCAGGAAGCAAAGATGAAGGGTAAAGGTGTCTAATGGAACTTAAGGAATTAAGTGTGAAGTCTAGAAATAGGAATTTTTTAAAATACAGAATAATATCCCTTCTTGGAGAGACGGCTTTGTGATACTATTCATAATAAAGCCACAAGTCTCCCCAGCTTCATTTTCAGTATAAAAAGGGAGGGGAGAGAGATGGTGGATGGGAAAATAAAAGCGAAAGGGAAGCCCTACAAAATGGGGGGAGATGAGGCTCTTCCTGCAGGAAGAAGATACCTTTGAAGGGCGGCTGGGTCCTTGCAGTGGGAAGGATCTGGCTGGCTGGGGCAACACAATGTGGGTCTGGCTGGCTGGGCAGTACAGTGTGATGCGGTGCAAACTCTCTACTAGTTTGTCCCAGGCCTGGTCACAGATTCTCTCCTGGAAGAGCCTCCTGGAGTGGGGCCTCCCACCAGGGTTGGGAATGAAAGGCTGACTCCACCTTCCCCCTTCCCCAGCTTCTGCTTCACACTTTCAGCATAGATTGTTCCCTGTTACCAGAAAGGAGAGCCAGATGCATTCCCCTCAATCCTAAAGAAACCTGGATCCTGTCTTCAGCCAAGTCTAGCCTCATTCAGCATCTCCTGAAAACAGAGAGGTGTAAGGGGGGAGTTTGATTTGGGAATGGGGATGGCACAGCACTCCTGAAAGGATCTCATGGCACCCCAAGGTCCTGTAGCACCCGAGTTAAGAATCACTGGTATAGACATAGGCAAGTTTTTGGGTATCACAGTACCCTTCCTGAGGCCTGAAGAAGGCTACCATGATACTCGAAAGTTTATGTCTATAACAAAAATAAAAGCAGCACCCAGAATAATCCTCTCTCCTCTGATTACAGCTTGAATTTCAGCCACTCTGAAGGCTGCGTAGAAAAGCAACAAAAAGTACTGTCCTAACAAAGTTCAAATAAAGATCATGCTTTCATTAATTCAACTGGAGTGTCCATCAACTATATTCAAGTTCCAAATCAGAAACAGAAATGGTTCCTTAATCTGTGGAAATACATAAACCAAATATTTATAAAATCTAGAAAATAGAGGTTGAGAAGAAACTGAACAACTTTTTATGGGTAGATTATGTGCCAACAGATCATACTCACAGAACAAACTAAGAGATTGATGTGTTTTAAGAGCACACTAGTAAAATGCTCCAGAAAAACTGATATGGATAAATCTTCACACTAAACACAGTTCTTAATGCACTACAAAGAAAAGCATTTTTACTTGTGGCATGTATTTTGCAGACAGACATTTCTTCTGAGAAATCAAAATCTTGTGTACAGCCTACAAGCAGAACCTGTCTATAAAATTCATCCAGACAGCCTCCCTGCTAATAATAAAATTCTGGATTCAGAGGAAGTCCCAAATGTCCATAAAACTATGCTCCAGGTGCTCAGTGTCCCACAAGACAGTATTTTTTTACTCGTCTGATACTTGATTCCTTAGATTCAACAGTGGCAGATGAGAAATAGAAACTCGCTGTTTTCTGTAGTTCATCCTCACAGAGATAAAGAACCTACCAAGACAAATCTTCTGCCTCTTCACAGCTTTGTGCTTCTGACACTGCAGCCAGATTGGTGATCATTATGAAAAGAGTTTCTTGGTTGCAGACCACTGAGAGTCATCATCTTTTCAACTGTAAAACTAATACAGCACTGATCTTTTTTAAGAACTGCAAGGTGGTACAATGTGGTTCCTGCATCTAAGCACATCACCTGAGAAAAAGCCAGATCCTTCTTCTCCTCTTACCAGAGGCCTCTATCCGTGTCTTAGCCTAAGCATGGGGCTTCAAGGTCTATGAGAGAAATCTCCCAATTCTTAAAGTTCTTCTCCTTTAACTATACAATCACACCTGGCATTGGACCCTAGTGTTGGAGCCCAAGCAGCACCATAGCTTGTTTCCATGGTGGTAGCCAAGTGCCTGAGTGACAGCTATAGTGCTGGAGCACCCACAGCACCATGGGAAGAAGCCTGGCACCAAAGCTTGTTTCCACACTAGCAGCCAAGCACCCAGGATGTCAGGTCTCTCCCCGCTGAGTCCTGGACCAGCCAGAGCAGTTGCCCTGTGTACTGGTTCCACCTGTCGGGGCCGAGGGGCTGTGGCCAGCAGCCCAGGCACGTGGGCCGGGGAAGTCGGCACGGCGGACTAGAATTAGGCACTGATGCGTGGAGGTTGATTAAAGATTGTTTTACTTACACCGTAGATGGTCGCGGTGCAGGCAGGAAAACTTGCTTGGTTACAGTTGTAGATAGAAGAAAAGAAGAAAAGAAGAAAACTCGAACGATGAGAGCTCTCTGAACCGATACGAGAGTCCGAGCTGTGACTCTCAACGAGCGCGCAGGGTAGGGATACGTCAGGGATCGTTCGGTGACGGGGAGAGACTCTTGATGGCTGATCAAACCACCATTCGGTCCGAGATTTACGTAGAAATCCACAAGGTAATCGTGGACTCCTTGCCAGAATTCTCTCGGATTTCTCCCGGAATTCTTGGAATCGGGGTTCTCAGGATCCTCCTGAGATTCTCGGAGATCTACGACTTGGGCGGAAACTGCTCAAGCCTCTTATACGGCTAGCAAGCCAATCGCTAAGGCGCGAAGAACCCCAATCGCTAGCCGCCACGTGGGAATAATTTAGAAACAGCCAATAGTGGGACACAAATTTGCATGCGAGTGGCGGGAACTCCTTTGCACTGGGGCCTTCCCTCTGCAGCTGAGAATTGCACCGTGCAAAGAAAGCTCCAGATGGCGGGAAGTAATTCTGCAGTGCCGAAGCACACACACAAATACTCATTGGGTTATGACACCACCATGGTGATGGGGGATCCTTGGGCCCAAATCAGCCCCACCATACATCAGCCCAACCATATTGGTTAATAGACCAGTCCCAAACCATTTATTCAGCCCTTAGGGCTAAGTGAGTTTAACACCCCTGGCTCAAAACATTTGCTAATAGTGTGAAGTCACTCACAACTAGAGATTTTTGATCTTCCAAAGTGGCTTCTCTTCTTGTTAGAGCACCTGATAAAACCAACTTTTGATAAAACCAGGAGGAACAGTTTCACATTAACACTGCAACCCTCTCTGCATTTAAAAAAAATAATTACAAACAGAAAACGTAGAGGGAATATGGAATATTTCCCTGAACATGAAAAACACTTAAAAAAGAAGCATATGTGGTGCTGCAGGCAGGGCAAATCATAAAAGCCTGAAGATTTAAACTCTGCCAGAGACTCAGATCTCAGTATTGTCACAAAAACACAGGCTCTTTTTCTTCTCTTTCCATCAGGCTTTAAAAATATATATATTAAAATCTAAGAAAACTCACGCTAAACCAGTAAGAGTGCTAAACCAATTAACTACACTACAAAAGAAATCATAGAAGGTATAACACTAACACAGGTAATAGAAAGGAACTGAGTGGCAGTTAGGACTTCTGGGCCCTTTGTCTTTTCAGAAAGGGACATTAGAGCATACAAGGACACACATGTGGCCCCAATAGACACTGCTAACTAAAAAATTCTGAGTTTCACTGAACACGCCTCAGGTACACTCCTACGTGAAGAAATGCTCTAAGAACAACAAAAGGACCAACACTGGTGGAAGCCATGTCAGAGATCCCCCAAAATAACTTTCAGTTAAAAATACAATGTTTAAATCCATCATGTTCCAAGTTAAAATGCAACATACAACTCCACATGCAGTACAACTACTGTATATCACAGGTAAAATGTTGGGTATTTTAAAGGAAAATAAATTAAAACTTAAGCTGATGTAACTTTAGGCCTTGTGTTGTACTGAGATGCAGTTGGTTTTTCTGAAAGGTGAATAAATATATCAATATTTAAAAACCTAAATGAGAAAATGAATGTTTACCATTTCCCCAGCAATTCTCCCCAGGAATACAAAATCTTCTCAGGGCAATCCTTAGACACATCCCCAGTGCCACTTGAGAGTTCATTATCGCTCTCTGCAAAAAAAAATAAACAAAAGAAAAGAAAAATAGACACATGCACAGATTTACCAAAGATAACAGATTTTTTAAAATGCCAGACAATTTCTTCTAACAAAAAAATGACTGGGAAACTACAAAAGAATATGTAAAATACAGATGGATCTGGAAAGCTTAGGGATTTGATCAAAGGAGTGATGCATAAGATTTAGCATGAAAAAGTTTAAAATACCACTTAGGAGAACATGCAGCATGGATGTAAATAGGGAGCTAATATTTAGAAAATCAGATAGGGGCAATCAGCTATACATTAAAAATGAGTTCCCAGTGTTACACAACTGTGAAGAAGTCAGTTCAATTCCAGGTTGTGTAAGACAGCACGCTCCCCTCAAAATAAAGAAGATTAAATTACTCTTTTACATTGCATGGTATATCATACACAGTTCTCGTCTGAAGAACCTGCCCACACTTCACGATAAAATCATCTCATTGAAGAGAGTTCACAGAAGACTCTCAAATGATAGTATGAGTTCAAAGTAGAAATTATATGGGGAGAGAAAAATGCTTCAAAGTGGCAACCATCTCAGGAACTATAAAAGTAAATGGCTTTAATGGAGAACTATATAAAGAAAGAAAATGGGTGGTATGAAACCGGTAAACTAAATTTTCGTTGAAGTGAAGATATGCGCTATGGTAATATTTTAAAAACACGCTCAAGTGAGTTAAACATCTCAATCCCATTCTTAAAAGCAACTTAGGAGCCCATAGAACTGAAAAGCAAGGAAAAGACCAGTATAGCTATTTTAGGATAGTTTCCATGTAGGTATGGTATTCTTAAGTGATTTTATTTCAGTACAGTTAGCTCCATTTTTTAAATCAGGTGATGATGCTGGAATCAAATCAATTTTATTCCAAAAGAGCCACACAAAGAGCTATTCTTGTTCCCCTGCATAGAAGCCATAAGTGATATTGATTTCAGATACCAAAATGACCATTAAATATGAGATTTTCTCCACCCCTTCTGGAGCATGAGCTATTTCACAGAGGGAAGTTTGGTGAAGCAGAGACCTTTGAGGGGAAAAAAGCCTACAATAAGACTAGATCAGGACTATTCAACTGGAGTCCTGTTGACCACAGGGGGTTAACATGTGACCTTCTGAGTCCCATCTGGCTACCACTGCCCAATTGCTCCAGCCAGTATTAACTGCAAAGGGGTCCAGGCTCCCCCTCTCTCCTTTGACTTCTGTTGCTTGACCCAACCCCAGGGGGTGGGGTGAGGTAGGGTGGAGTAGGGCAGTGTGGTATAGCCCATAGTACTGGGAAGCCAGTGACCTGGAACACCTATGCGGCATGACACAGCAGGGAAGCCAACAGTCAAGCAGCCAAAAGGTTAGCCAGGGCACTACATGCAGTGCAGTGGGGAGTGCCCACCGGTAGTTGTAGGAGGGGTGAGGGCCATTGCGGGGCCAGTATGTGCTGGTGCTGTGTAGTGGTGGAGGAGCGCATGGTGGAGGTGCTGGGTGCAGCACTGTGGCAGCGGGGAATGGTGGTGGTGCCAAGCAGCACTGGGTGCTGCAGGATAGCAGTGCTGTGGTGCTGCTGCTGTCACTGGTTGCACAAAATTAGTTTGGGGGGATGAGCCCCGTTAGCTCTGGCCTTCCACCACCTATGGTACCCACCCAGCTGTGCAGTGCAAGGAGAGCACCTATGCCCACAATGCAATGCAGTGTGGGGAAGGGAGGGAGCACTCATGCATATGCAGCATGTAGCCTAGAAGACCTATGGCCTCTATTGCACATGGCCCCAACTGGTGTAGGCCATGGGGCATGTGACCCTCAGCCACTTGGACTAGATTTTTCTTATAGCAGGCTGTCTGGGAAAGCCAAAAAAATGAATGAACTATGTTGCAAAACAGTGAGTCAAGATCATTCTCAACTACAAGATACAGGTTATGTGTGCTTCATGTACTGGGAAATCATGCAACTATGCCCTTTATGTGCACTTGGAAGTTGGTCAGGCCCAATCCTCCACACAATCAAAACCATGTGAGAATCTCATGAGTGAATTTCAAGGTCATGAGTTTGGTAAAAAGAATTCAAGTTTTGCAAGAACTGAACTAAGAGCTTATGAGGAAGAAATCTACTTTAAAACATTTATAGTTTAAATAGACAAGACAGAGAGGATGATCCTCAATTTTACACATGTAGAACTAATGCCCAAGATCATACAACGTCTGTATGAGAGCTAGAAAATGAACTGAAATCTCCACAGTGCTACTCTAGGTTTTTAACCATTTGACCATCCTCTCTGGGCTCTTTGACACAGTTCTCAACTGACTACAGAGTAACATTTGTGGATTTATGGGTATGATGTGGCCAAATGTTATTGCTTTTACCAGCTTAAGATAGCAAACCTTGATTGTTATCATGAAGAAAGATACTACATTCTCTCAAATGGTATATGCCCCCAAACAACACACACCTTGTTTTCAGGGTGCAGAAAGAGGAAAACAAGGAAAAAGAGTATTTCCAGAGTCATGGCCAACTGTGTGACAAAGCAAGTCCTGCTGGAAACAGTGTGTCCAGGAAGTGTGGCATCCCAGGATGCAGTCTGGGGTGAACCAGCAGGTAGCAGGAAATTCCCAGTGTGGCAAATTGTCTTCTGAAATGCCACACATTTCCTGGATACCCCATGTTTCCAGATGGATTTACTCAAATGTCACACAAGGTTAGGCTCCAGGGCACTGACAACTTATTTCTTTGCTGTAAGTAGTTCTTTAAGTTTCTGTAAATTAAGTGTTGTTTACACCACACAAGCCTCATCAGGATACTACCAGCAGCTCACTTGCTGCTTCAGGCACAAGCTATAGTGCTCAGCCAATAGCTATAGCTATGAGAGGGTTAACACACAACTACACCATTTTGGCAGCAGCATGGCATGCACAGTGGGCACCTATAGACATGCCCGATGCCTGCTACGATGTATGCTAATTAGCATATGTTAGAGCAGACTTGATCAATTGAGTCTGATGGAGCATGCTAATTAGCACACTCCAGCAGCCCCTGAGTCGCATGTATTCAGCATCCCTGCGCTTCAAAATGGCAACAGGAGTGCTTTAACTAAAGCTTGTCGAATGACCTTTAGTTGTAATCCCTCCGAGATACTGCAGACACTTTAATTAGAGTGGCTCCTGAGAGCCGCTCTTATTAAAGCACTTCCCCTTTCTCCACCTGTAAAGATGCCCAGTGTTTTCAGGCTTGTTGCTTTTCCTGCCAAGAAAGCAGCTTCCCTGCTATTCCCTTCTCCCCCTCCCCCCCATATGAGGGGGCTGGTTTTGGGGAGCAAGGTGCATGCTGCATGCAAGAAAATATGCTAATAAATTACACAACACCAGATATCAACAGGCACAAAGGAAGGCATGCCACCATTTGCACAATTATTTCCTGCTCCCAACCTCTAAAAATACTGCACACTTCTGCTGTTTTTGCTACTATTTCAAATAATAAAACATGCTTAAAAAACAAATAGCCAAATATTACAAACTAGTAGTTCAGAAGATACTGGGTTTGAGATCACAGGACCAATTTGTAGTTCTTCTGTACCAGTCTGACAGGAAAGTAAACTATACACATGGAGGGCAATGAAATGAAGCTGAGTTTAAAGCAACCTGAAATATGCTTTAAACTTTCCCAGGGAAGAAACTATCCCTAAGAAACCAAGAAACACAAATATGAAAAATTAAAAATATATCTGCCTCAACTCAGCTCAGCCAGATTTTGGATCTGGTCTAACATCTTCAGTGACCTGAGAATTTTAAACATTTGACATTAGAAACAAGATGATTTATTGTAGACATCAGCAGTTCATGGAAAGGAGGATCAGTCCAACACACCTGCATGATTTCTGTCCTAACCAAACCTTCATCACTGTCACTGTGATTCACATTACAGGTTTCTAATTAATTACAGTATCTTAGCAGCTGCCAAGTCCAACTCATTAATAAAAACATATCAGTCTTAAATCTGACAACCAAACATAAGGATGAAGATGGTACACGTACTGCACCTCAAGGACAATCAAAGCAACATTAACCGAAACCTTAATTTGGAAGACTTGAGCTCTACAGTCCCTTCTCGTACCAAACTAAACATGGTTCATGCAATTTGTTGGGTCATAAACAGTTTGTATAGTTTTAGTCCTTAAAACAAGTCTCCTTGCATCATCATTTCATAAATTTAAGAGCACAATTTTGACTTTAATAGGGTCAAACACTTTTGCATAAAATAACTGGAACCAGAAATAGAAACAACACTAGGCTTAAGAAAACAAGTCAACCCTAAAAAAGCTAATTATATGGCTTGTCCTAAATTATGGATTAATAATAAATCCCATGGAATTATACTGCCTGTTAAGTACAATCAAGTCCTTAAAAGGACAAACAAGTAATTAAACTTACATTTTTAAAAAATATTTAAAAGCTTTAATTTTCTTTAAAAATTTCCTTCTGATACTCCCAGCTGGATCAAATAATGCAGTTACAACACTGTCCTATCTCTGTCTGAGAAAGAATAAATGGTTTCTTCAAGTACTCTTGACCACATGGGAGTACTTCAGCTATTCAGGAACAAACAAGAAGTAATTTCATATAGGACAGGTTATGAATCTGAAAAATGTAACTAGTCCAAACTTGAAGCCCATCACAAACAGAAACTTCAAAAAGTATGCAAAGCACAGCCAATTAAAATCAGCAAAATTTTTTGGAGACAGATTTTTAAATTATGTGAGAGTCTGATTAAAACAGAACAAAAAAGTTTCATGTGTAAAAAAATTCTAATGGACCACTACTAACAACAAATCACAAATTAAAATTTTGGTCCGAGACAAACAATGATTATGCTCCACAAGACAAACTTCAGTAAGAGCAGAAAAGAAACTCTAAAACTGCAGATATATTACAAAATTTTGGAAACCAAACAACTGGTCATCTGACCTGGCCAATTTTCAATTGTTTGTCGTAG